ATGTGAAGTATCATGTTCTGTGTGTAGAAAATATCTTACAATCTTCCTTGCTCCTTCCTCATGTCTAGAGGCCAACTGTAAACTGGAAAAGAGCTAAAATGAAAAAAATTTTAAAAAAAGAAAAAAAAGAAAAACTAAATTTATTAATGAGGTTATACAGCTCTGAGATGCAGCCTGTGGGCCAGGCCCAGATTTAGGCACCACAAAACGCTGGATAATAATGGTTAGGGGCTCAGTTTCTCAACCCTGGGCAGCTGCAGTGAGAGCAGATGCTGGTGGTGAATAAAGATGTTGCATTTTGGTCTGTGCTGCTGTGCTGTGATGGGCAGAGCCCCTCTCCCTCCCCAGGCAGGCTCTGAGCTCAGCAGGGCTGTTATCAGATTGTGGCAGATCCTTTGCTGCTCCAGCTCCAAAACAAACCTGATTGCATCTGCAGCACCTCTGAAGGACATCAGCAGGATCTCAGTGAGAAACTGAGATTTTCCACAGCTGGACCAGCAGGTCACTTTTAACCTGTTTTCTGTTTTCTGGGTTTCTAAAAGCCTCCTGTAACAAGAGGTTCGTGTGGTGTGAACACGGTTCATCCCTTATGCAGCTTTTGATGGATGCTGGGGGAGCCGGCAATTCCCTTCAGCCGCAGGAACCAAAGCTCTGTGATCAGCAGCCACTTGTCTCCAAGGCTTATTTAAGTCTAATCACACAGTCAAAGCTGGGCACTGGCCTCAGCTTTTCAGGAGGAGCAGCTGAATCAAGAGTGGGCAGGAGCAGAGAGTGGCACCATTTGTTGTGGGAGGAAATAAGAGCACGGGAGGATCTACAGAATGGAGTTTGGAGGATGCAAAATTGGGTGTATGACCCATTGGATTCTCCAATGGGTAGCAAAAATGGCTGAAAATACCCCCAAATGTATAGGTTTGAAGGGTTTGGGGTTTTTCTTTTCTTCCAGTCAATTTCCCCTTCCTAGTTATTAAAGCGGAGAGCCAGGCAGAAGGAAATCCTTCTCCACCAGGAGAGAGGGTGGGAGAACCTGTTGATACCTCTACAGGACTTGCTATAAATACCTTACAGGCACTGTGTGATGTATTTAGAGGAGAAATCTCTCTTCAACAGGCAATTTCCTGAAATTCTAGAAAGCCTTTTGGTACCTGATGACCAAACTGGTGCCACAGAGCACAGCAATGTGCCCAGTGTGGAGAGTCTCACCTCACCTCTGCCGTGGGACCCAGCCACCAGCAGCCTCTGCAAACCAGATGGGCAGGGGATTTTTTACCCCAGCAGAGCTTCTCGTGCTCATCAAAGACACAAGCAGTGGAAGGAGAATTGATTCCAACCCAAAGAAACCAGAAATGAGCAGCAAATAAAGACCAAGCGACCGCCCTGGCAGGTGTCTTCTGCGTGGCACAGGTTTATAGTTAGCAATGCGGTTTCTTTTATTAGTTATAAATAAAGTACAAAAAGTCCACCAAAAGTGAATCTAAGCATTTACACAATTTCTAATGTCTTTCCATTTCTTCAATGCACTATTGCTTTAATATTAATAATAAATATTTTTCTAGCTTTCTTCTATAAAATAGTCTATGTAGCAAAATGTTGCACAGCACAACAGAACAGCAGTAGGAATACAAAAATGTGGGTGATCCTTTCACCTGCCTGGGTCATTAAAGGAGATGGGATTTTGTTTACTCGCTCCTTGTTTTGCTTATCCCTCTTGCAGTGACTTTGTGGGGGAGGACAGCCAACCCCCCAGTCCCCACACAGCTCAAAATCACAGCTCCAGGCTACAGGGGAGGAGTGTTACAGAGCAGCAAGGTAAAAAACACAGACAGGTTTAAAACCTGGGGTAAGGCAAAGTCAACAAAGCAGCGCAGCACCCTGAAGGGACAGAGAGAAAAGAATTAAGGTACTGTGATTTTGTGCCTTTCTAACCCAACTGAGAATTTCGTCCAGAGCCTTTTTGTGGGGAGGATGGCTACTGGCTGAGCACATGCATCAAACCCCACTTCTGCCTGTACACAGCTAAATGTCTGCACTGACCGAGCATGGTTATGGCTTAAAGCTTAAAATGTTATCAGAGGTTCTCTAACCTTCTGGCAAAGCTGGAACTTGTGATACTCAGGAGCCTTTGGGGAAAGGGCAATGCATTGCAAGAGTGGTGCAGCCATGGCAGGATGGGGATGCATGGCCATGTCATTTTGGGGCTGACCCCCTTCTTGGGGGCAGGAGGGCTCTGGAGTCGGTCCCAACTCTACACTGGATTAAAAAACTCAAAACTGAGGCTCCCTCCTGTACAGGAGGGGTGAAGCCAACTGGTCAAGATCAGTGTTAAGCGCTTCTGCCCCTTGCATGTGTCAGAGCTGGGTTACAGCCAGTGCCATGGCAGGCGCTGCAAGGAGATGGCAAACGGATCCCGTGTCCATCCCAACCAGTCTCAGCTAGACACGGTGTCACAGGACCACAGAATTGCTTGGGCTGGAAGGGACCCTAAAGCTCATCTCATTCCACCCCCTGCCGTGGGCAGGGACAGCTTCCACTATCCCAGGTTGCTCCGAGTCCCATCCAACCTGGCATGGATGCTTCCAAGGCATGGGGCAGCCACAGCTTCTCTGGAAAACCTGTACCAGGGCCTTCCTAGCCTCTGAGTAAGGAAGCCAACCCCTAAAACCTGCATTGAATCCCTCAGTTCTGTTGCCTCCAAGCTTAAATTCACCCTATTGCCTCCTTCACCCCAGCTGGGTGCACACACAGAGGGTGAAAAGAGCCAAACCAAGCACTGATAGACGCCAAAAATTACAGAGCCCCCAAACCTGGGCTTTTGACACAATCTTGCACTAAAGGCATGCATTGCCCCTTGCAGTGGGGGCCTGCTGGGTGTTATTGCAGGGTCACACAAGCAGCAGCAGCAGCAGCAGCAGCAGCAGCAGCAGCAGCAGCAGCAGCAGCAGCAGCATCACCAGAGGCATCAGGGACAGGGCAGTACCAAGAAACAACCAAAACGTTTTGGTTTATGCAGAGCGTCGTTAACCGCCTTCAATGCGCAAGGACGCAAGTGAAAGGATCACCAGAGTTTGATTATGAGTGCAAATAATATTCATATATATGTGCTAAACACAGTCACTATATTGCAGTTTTCCACTATGTCACAGCATACAGAATCAAAGGTTTGCATTTTTATGGAATGTATCCAAGGTAACAGCACCACAGTAATACAGTTTGTAATCACACACCCTGATTTTTTTCTCTTTTTTTTTTTTTACTGTTTTTGACAAGATAAGCATTACCCCCCACATCCCCTGTTTAATTTTATTTTAAGTACCGATGCATGCAAAGCATTCCATTCCCAGAAACAATGCAAAAATGAGGTAATAGGAGTAATAAAAAAAATTAGTAGTAATTTCTAAATAAATAAATTATAATTAAATTGCAAAAAAACAACTATAAAAATAATTAAATTAGAACCCACAATATCTACAAGTTAGTCATAAATTATGATTGTTAAATATAAGGCATTTAAACTCACAAAACCCTGTAAACTATTGATGTTTTGTTTCTAGATTTTTTGTTGTTGTTGTTGATGTTTGTTTTGTTTTGTTTTGTTTTGTTTTTAAACTCACGATCCTAACTCGCAACCTAGTTGTACAAATTATTTAAACACAAAGGAACCTGACACACTGATACAACTCCAGACACTGTAAATTCGCACGCACCTTGGGATCAGTCACTCACACGAGACCATGGGAGTTTGGTGCTTTTCTTCATCAAAGGTTTGCTTGTTTTTTTTGTTTGTTTGGTTTGGTTTTTTTTTTTCAGTTTGATCAATCTTTTTATTCTTTTTTTTAAAAACTGTGCTTGTTTATTAGGCAAATAGTAACACTTTCTCATAGGCTTTAAAAGAAAACACAGGGTCCAGAAGTGTTCCTCATTCCCTCCCCACCCAGTGGGGGTGTCAATCCCCCTGTTGCTCTCCCTGCTTCTCCCCCACAGGTCACACCTGGGCAGACCAAACCTGCAGAGTATTTTACCACCAAAACCTTTCTTTGCTTGTCATGGTATTAGTATTATTAGTATTATTTGTAATGCTGCTTCAATGCTGGTGGAGCAAGACCAATAGGTATCCATGGGCCACTCCCTGACCATGGACATCAGGGCTGGGACCACCACATTCCCCAAGAAGCCGTCACTTGTGCTGGGTGGCAAATGTGCCATAAAATCATGGAATGGCTTGGGCTGGGAGGGGCCTCAAAGCTCATCTTGTTCCAAACACCCTACCGTGGGCAGGGACACCTTCCACTAGGCCAGGTCACTCCAGACCCCGTCCTGCCTGGCCTTTAGCACTTCCAGGGTTCTCTGGGCAACCAGGGCTTCCCCACCCTCACAGACAAGAACTTCTGCCTTATACATCTTCCCTGTATGTCATCATTTGTCTCCTTCCTCTCTCTCCCACCTGCTTTGGCACACAATGAGAGGCTCCTGCACCCTCACATGGGGCTTCCCTTCTTGTCTCTCCTCTCTCACTGGGGGAAAAAGTAAATCTCTGTGTGCCTCTGAGGTTGGTGTTTTCCAGTTACAGCTCATGAGAATCTTGCAGTTTCTCAGATGAAAGTTTATGACTGAATCTACTTGGGAGAGCATTTCTCTCCAGTGAAACATATGCTCAGGGGAGACAGAAATCATTCCCACCACACCAACATTTTCAATAGATTATGTTTCTAATTCCCCTGCTGCCTCTCTGCAGCTCCTTTCTCCCTTAGTATGAAAGGAAAAAAAAAAAAGAAACAAAAAGAAAACTACAGGTTTTGGTTATGAATGTCGGTTTTCCCGAGGGTTTTCCGCCTGATCCCTGCGGTTGGCTGGCGTACTGAGGTCTTTTTTTTTTTTTGTTTAGGGGGAGCATGGATTGCAACAGCTCACTCCTTTGGGTATTACCTCTTAATTCTGTTTTGAGTGTTAATGTGATTAAGTTTCATTTTAACAGCCACTGATTGCTCCGTGTGGGTACGCGCACAGCAGCCCGCGAGGGCGCAGGGGCGCGCGCTTTGGGACAGGTCACGGCTCCCAAAAGTGGCAGCCCCATCTCCACCCTGCCTTCCCCTCCCACGACCAAGAGTTCATGGTCTCAGCAGTGTCTTGTGAGCATCGAGTTCTCTTCTGCCCCCTTATCAAGAGATGCTTTGGCAATGGGAGGAGAGTCAACGTTTTGCGCCTCTCGGCGCCTTTGTCACGCCCCAAAGAGCAGCGGAAGGCGCCGTCTCCCGTAACCATCACTTTGGAGAAGTGCCGGCGAAGCCAACACGCCACACAGCTCACAGAAGAAAGCATCACGGACAATTGCAATCATGTAGACAGAACTTCCTTGGATTTTGATATGACAAGCTACTTTGTTAAATACAGAAAGCAAAGAAACAGCATCTACTCAAATACTGTGCTGCTACAGAAAGTGTCCAGCACCAGCAGACAAGCAGGAACGAAGCCTTTCCCTACTGCTTCGTTCATTTTATCCCCAATTTTTATTTTTATTAAGCTTCTCTAAATTTGCAACACACTGTAAATGCAAGGGAAAGAAGCACACGCGGCTGAGGCAAAGAGCACAAACCCTTCTGACTGTAAACAGGATTTTGCTTTTCCTCCCCTTTCCCCCACCCCAAGGATGGGGATATTTGACCTCTTTATTTCCCCTTCTGCAATGTATTAATCAGGCACCAAAATAAGGAATCTATGAAAAAATATTTGGTGCAAATTAGGTAACAGCAACATGTCCACCACAAGATGAGTAGGGCATCAAACACAACATTTCTTAAGCTAACATGCTCCAGCTGCCATCCATAGAAATAGCTAAAGGACCCCTAACATGTTTCTACATATTTGAGAGGTATATATACAATCCCCATAAAAAGCAGGATTGACAGGCCGGACTAACCACAACTAGTTCCTTCATATTCAACACTAAAATCTTCTGCAGCACAGGGTCTCTGAGCTCCGGGAATGCCAGCTCCCTTTCACTGGGCCTGTATCCTGCGTATATGTGCAACATCTCCTACTGCTAGATATTGTATCACTTCCTCCTTCTCCTCACTACCGTGCCTGCAGACTTCCCCTCTCAATCAAATGGCTCAGAAGGCAAAAAATTTCGCTGCAAGGGTGTATGGCCATACGACCTGGTAAGGAAAATGGTGTGTCCAGCCAGTCTTTTCAGCTGTCCGAGCCGAGCTGTGTTTCAATGTCCACCCTGCAGATCGGGCACTTCTTGCTGGTGGCCAGCCACTGGTCCACGCACACTTGGTGAAAGAGATGCATGCAGGGCAACCGCCTGCAGAGAGAAAAACACCTCTGTTAGGGTGGAGGAGGTCCAAGGGAGCAAAAAGAGCTGAAAAACAGCATCTGGGGCTGCTTGGAACATGGGAAACATTCCTGTGGTGGCACCATTGCCACCAAGGTCCAGCAGCCTTTCCCAGCCATGCCAGTTCACACAGGGCAGTGGGCTGGAGACAGTGTCCTCCTTGGCCTATTAGAAACCCCCACACCATCCTGAATTGAGTTGCTCCAGTTATTAATTGTGCTGGCTGCTAATTTTTAACCTTTCAGGAGCAACATTATACTCCAAAGCCTCTTAGCTCTTCATGGTTGTGTCACATTAGCAGTCAGGTGGGCCCACACTGTTCCTGCATGTGTGTCCCCAGGGAATCTGGTCACGTTTCACCTACATCACTTCTGCCATCATCATGTGTCACTCCTGTGATACAGGGAAACCTGGAACCACAAGAACCAACAGCAAAAGGATCAGGGCTTTTCTTGAGAATTTAAGGATGAGAAGAGAAGTAGTACTTCTCACCTGCAGTCCCTTCAGCCATGATAGTTCAGCCCCTTGCAATTTCTTGTCCCCATCCTCTGTCTCAAGCAGAGACTGGACCCAGTGAGCAGCCTGGGATGTCTGTTAGAGACAACTGGAGTTCTGTTGGCTGCGGATGGTTCTCTGTGACCATTGGGGCAAAGTAATCCTACTCATTCTACAATAAAGCAGCTGTGTCTTGGACACAAGCCCAGCTCTCCTGGACTTCTCACCAACACTGCTTTTTGTCATACTTTGGTCATCTGTCAGGCTCAGGTGTTGATGACCCCAAGCTGCAGATGGTTGTCAGAGATCAGTCTAACCTACCCTTCTCTGACACTTTGCCACCTGGCCAGCTGGCACAGCCTGGAAGCAGATGATCCAAACCCAGGGAACACTATAAAAACCTGGTCCTGTGCTGCCGCAAGGCTCTCCCTTTCTACGGGCTATGTCAATGTCCATCTGCAAAGCATTTGGGTTCCCAGACCCCACAACAGCCCAGGTGAGTTTCCCAGGACAAGAACAGAGACATTAATCCAAATAGACACAACTCAGATGGCACTGAGAAGCAGAGGAGGGGATGGAAGGATCTCACCTGACGTCCTCTCCATCTTCAAGCATGGACAGACAGATTGTGCATTTCTCGTCGGTATCTGACTCCTCGCCATCGTCTTGCTCAGCTTTGCCTTCCTGCGGTCTTCTCTGCAGCAAGATTAAAGACATTTGGTTAGACCTTGCCCTTCTAATGCTCTCCCAAGCCTGGGCAGTTGCAGGAAGATAAATAATGAGATCTCCATCTATCAGCCAGATCCTCCAGCTCGGGGAAGCCAGCCCAGCCAAAACAGCCAGCGAGATGTGTGTGGCACCAACATGCTGCAGGCTGGCATGTCTCCTCCTGAGGCTGGTGGCAGTGCCCCAAGGAGCAGCCTGTCCTCTGCTGCCCTAATACAGCCCCCCACCACTTCCTTGCAGTGGGGGCGGCCCCATGGTCTCCTTTGCTGGAGGCTTCTCTTTGGGGAGACTCCAAACCTCATGGTGCCACCACTGCCAGGAAGGGCAGCCACTGTGCCCCACGCCAGCTTGGCCACTGCTGCACCACAGGGCCGTGCTTATCCTGCCAGCTGCCCCTTTTTCTCTTCCCCCACACATCCATTCCTATTCATATCCTTTTCCTGGGCTCACTGGAGATGTAATGAGAGACAAGTGCAGCAGGAGTTACCTCACTTCCAACCTGGGCAATGCGACATCCCTACCCTCCAGCCAGGAGTGACCGACACCAGGAACGATGACCCAGACAAGCATTCTTCCCAATTTCTACTGAGCACAACCCAAAAATGTGCCCATTTCCTCATGGGTGGGGAGGTCAGCTTCAACAGAGGAGACACCCTTGGTGAAGCCAGGGGAGAAGAAGGCTCCCTGGGACACAGAGCCCTCATGGGGCAGCGCCGCTGGCATGCAGAACGGGGCGGGTTTGCATGCACCAAGCCCCCTTGGTGGTGTGCACTTTCTTACCAGGTGCAGACAGGGGGGAAATTGCACCCGCTGGGTGGGAGAAGGTTGAGACCCTTTTGAAAATTTGGCCCGCAGCTTCCTAGCCTAGAAGTGAGAAACAGGCAGCTGAGCTACGCCACCGCTCCCGCCCCCGGGAGCCCCGCCAGAAATTACAGCACCCCTGCTGCAGTGGGACTGTGACCCACCAAAGTCCTTCCTGCTGCCTGCTCCGTGCCCACAGCCCCTGGCTGAGTGAGAGGGGCTGGCAGCCGTGCTGTGCTCTGGGGCACTCACCTTCTTGTACTTGTGGGGGAAGGTGAATCTCTCGATGGTGTTCTGGACGGCGCCCCGGCTCACGCTGCCCAGCCTGTCCTCCAGCTGCAGCAGCTCCTGCGGCACAGGAACATCAGGAAAGTGCCATCCCCGCTGCTCCCACCACACAGCCATACCTGCTGGCAACTGAGGCTCCCTCCTGTCCTCTGCTCAATGGGAATGGCCGTCAACCCCACATCAACCATGCTGTAATGATGGATCTGATCCCTGGCACTTGGGGTAATAACTAAAAGGTTGAGGCAAAGAGCTGGATATCCAATATTTCACAAATTAGGGTGGGATTTGAGCTTCATCTGACAGGCTGGGAAACAAAGCCCCATAGATCTGGAGCACTTTGTTCATAAATGAAAGGAGCCAGAGCCAACCCAAGCCAGACCCAGGCACCTTGGAGTAAACCATCTTTAACCAAACTCAACCCCATCACTTCCCAGCTGTTACTAAAATTGATGAAAGGCTCAATGCAACTGCCACACCACAAAAAACTGTCTTACAGCTTTATAGCAGAGCTTGCTTGCATAAATTCACAGCCCTTTAAAAATGAATAATTCCAGTCCCCAGATACATACTTCATAGCTCTCCCGCACAGCGGATGTGTGCCTGCTTGGGTTCAGTCCCTGAAGAGCAAGCAGCTGAAGCTGAGGGTAAGGGTAATTTCTGATTTCATGAACAACCTGAAAAAAGTGAGGGAGAAAAATAAAGCCACCTGTACACTTGCCTACAGAAAACCCTTGTGTGCCCTGATGTAAATCTAATGCTTGAAAAATTCAAATTGAAAGAGTAGATTGACATTTTCACCAATTTAAGCCTTTTGATAACAAAAAAATGAGGTTTTATCTAATATGTTTCCTAGACATGATACCTAAGAACGTGCAGCTCCTACAAAATAAACTGTTATAATAATTCCTATATCATCCATAGCATTGTAGTTCCAAACCCCCAACATGGATTAGATTACAATGAAATTTTATTTCATTTAAATGGGTGGATTTCTGTTCATTCAAGCTTTGATTGGGGTTTTTTTAAGGCTTGCTTTAGTACACAGGTGTCAGGGTCTGACCCAGCACAAGGGAAAAGTGTCCTCATGGGATTTCTGGGGATGTTTTAAGGATTGGCAGTGTTTGGCATGACTTAGCTCCAAATACAGCACCCTGCTAAGAGAAGGGGTAGAAAAATACTCCAGTCAGCCTGTCTTCTCATCAATCCCACCTACACCTGTGCAAGGTATCATGAAAACCTTTACAGGTGGCATCAGAGCTGACGTAGAGAGCAATGATTGATGAGGGATGGTCCTGGGGGCTGACACCAGGGAAGGCAGTCACCCACTGCCAGTCCTTCAGCACACAAAAAGTCCTGGGAGATCACAGTTCCTTCCAGTGTTAATTATATTATTAATATTAACTGCTGAGTCTCTCACATCCTGCCCATGCTTTGCAGACCAGCTTGTGAACGTGGTGCTGCAAGCAATGGACCGAATCCTTCCAGAACAGCTGAAGCTTTTCTTTTCTTTCTCTAACCCAGTGCAGTGATGCAACATTATCCTTTCAGACACTCCCTCCCACGGCCGGAGATAAGTGGGATTTGCAGGAGACAGGTGATAGAAAGATAGCAGCCTTTATTTTGACTGCTTTCTGGCAGACAATGCATAAAACATTTCTCAGTAAGAGCGTTTCACTTACCACCTGGGTTGAGGATGTGCTTCTGGGGAAGTGGTGCACCCGAGGAGTGGCCAGGTAATGCTGATAGGGCTGGGGCACCGGCCGGACCTGGAACTGGGCGTGAGTCAGCCCCGCGTCCACGCTGAGGTCCCTGTGGGCACCAGGAGGGAGATGGGGCTCTGAGTGCCTGGCTGTGCTCCAGGGGACTGCAGCAACCAGACCCCACTCTGGGAAATGTCCCTGCTGAGCTCTGGGCTGCTCCTCACACTGGTATGATATGGCTTGGCTTGGTTTGCCAGAGAGTTTCCTCCAGTTTGGGGAGTCATGGAGGGAGGGGTTGCTTCTATGCCCTCCCTGGGGGCACCAGGAGGGACACGTGGCTCTGAGTGCCTGCCTGTGCTCCAGGGGACTGCAGCAACCAGACCCCACTCTGGGAAATGTCCCTGCTGAGCTCTGGGCTGCTCCTCAGACTGGAGAGGTGGTACAGCTTGGCTTGACAGGGAGCTTCCTCTGTTTTGGGGTGTCATGGAGTGAGAAGTTGTTTCTATGCCCTCCCTAGGGGCACCAGGAGGGACACGTGGCTCTGAGTGCCTGCTTGTGCTCCAGGGAACTGCAGCAACCAGATCCCACTCAAGGAAACCTCCATGCTGAGCTCTGGGCTGCTCCTCAGCCTGGCATGGCTTGGCTTGGCAGGGAGTTTCCTCCGGTTTGGGGAGTCACCCACCAGGCCACCATGAAGGAGTGAGGGGTTGCTTCTATGCCTGGTAGCATTTGAGTTATTTGGGGTCACAGTCGTGCAGATGCACCCTGCTAATTTCAGAGCAAGAGCATTTTGGTGGCTCAAAATGATACCCAGGTCTGCAACTCAACCTGGTCAGACCAGGATATTCCAGTGCTGCAAACTATTACAGTTTGTCTTGAATGTTTTTCAGGAATACAGTTAATTACTCAAGGGACTCAAAAAATTGTGGCTTTAGAAGCTTCTGGTAGCTTTTAGAAGCTTGATGGGCACTGTCTGTGGGGTTTTTGATGTGCCTGTGCTCTCCTTAGAGGTCTCCCGGCCCAGATCATGGCAAGACCTGGGGAGTCAAAGGACACTGTGCCTTGCCTGAATCCAGCCTCAGGGTGGGGAGGCTTTGAGGTGTGAGGGTGGGCAGGCCTTGGCCCAGGGTGCCCAGAGCAGCTGTGGCTGCCCCTGCATCCCTGGCAGTGTCCCAGGCCAGGCTGGATGGGGCTTGGAGCAACCTGGGACAGTGGAAGGTGTCCCTGCCCATGGCAGGGGGTGGAACAAAATGATCTTTGAGGTACTGTCCAACCCAAACCATTCTGGAATTCTATGATTCTATGAACTCCAGAACTATGATTTTTGCAAAAACATATTTTAAGGTTTTAAGAAATGGAAATCAAAAGCCCTTGGATGAGGCAGCTGGAGGAGAAGATGAAACAAAACTAGAGGGCAAACACCAACAGAGCAAGACATCCCTGGTGGCCCTGCTTGCCTGAACACAGCCTGGCCCAGGCGAGCAGAGATGGAGCTCAGCTTGGTGAATCTGAGTACTGTCATCCTCCACAAAATTAACCCAGCTCAATCCCTGGACTTGTCATAACCAAGATGCCATCAAACAACACAGCTCTGCTCAATCCAACACACAGGGACAAACTACAACCCCACCACTACCACACCATGTGGAGGGAGTGGGAGGGGGCCTATGCAGCATTTCCATCTCTAATCCAATTAGCTGATTCCCATTCTCTCCAGCCTGAGAGTCTCTTGGCAAACGAGTGCTTTGAACATCATTCACTTTATCATCATTTCAAAATCCGTTGCTCTAATAACAACTGTCTTCACATTTCCCAAAGAAAAGCTAATTAAAGGGTGGCTTCCCATTTCAGCCTCCACCTTCTCCTCCCCTTCACAGAGGACAGCAGCAGTGGGTACCACACCTCCTTGGGAGCAGCCCAGATGTGTCGTCCAGCAGCTGGGAAACTGCTTGCACCAACCAGAGGATGGGGAACTGAAGGGAGAGTAGATGCAGAAATCCTTCATCCAGAACAGCCTGTGCACCAGGCAGCAGCACCAGTGCTCTAGAACTCCATAATACCCACACCAAGCTGGATGTAATGACTGTCATGGGTCCCTTCCAACTCAGGATATTCTGTAATTCTATGATTCTACATTGAGGCCAGGAGAGGGACTACCTTTGCTGGCCCTGTGTTAGCCATGTGCTAGACAGACAACACCTGGCAGAGGATGAAACACAGCAGGCAACTGGCAGGAACACAACCAGGGGGAGAATCCACAGATCTTGGCACTTTCTAGCTCCTGTGTTCCAATTTTGGATATTTACCCAATTGCTTAAGGTTGTTCCCAGGTTGATGGAGGGCTCAGCTGGAAATCAAGAGGCTTTGGGTGCATTCTCAGCCCTGACACCTTCTTGATGCATGACCTTGATCCACTTCCTCTCTGCCTCCCCATGTTCCCTGTCTATGAAATAGATGTGGCAATTCATGGGGTGCTTTGAAATCAAGGACTGAGAACATCTCTCAAAGGTGAATGGTCATTATTAAACTGCACAGGTAATTGCAGTAAGAGGGCTGCTGAACTGCTTGTGCATCTAGAGACTTAAAATCAGATCTTGAGGTTCCTGAGGTGATGCTTTGGGTCTACAGATGTGTCCAAAGAAGAACATGGCACAGAACAGTGTTTTCCCAGGGTTTGGGGCTGAAGAAGCAGAGCACCCTTGCTGAAGGGGAATGGAACTAACCATCACTTTCTAGCCCATGCTACAGGAACAAGTGTACAGCATCCTGGTGCTCAGGTGCAAGGTCCAAGAGCTGTGATGCTTGTGGTAAATGGGCTGCCAGCAAACAGCCAAGGAGTGAAGGACAAACACCAAATAAAACATGTAGGATGGTCATCACTGCATGTGTGTGCAGATGATTTAAGGAACCAAATGGGAGTTTGTTTATTCTTCACCAGAAGATTTCAGTTGGGGTTGGACTGTCTGAGACAGCCTCAGATCTTTCCTCCATCCCCAGTTGCACCTCCTGTGGCAGCACCCACCACCTGCAGCCTGAGAAAACCCTGCTGCTGCTGCTGCTGCTCATCCAGGGGTAACACATTAGAGGGGAGCTTTTGTATTTGTCACTGGGCAAAACTCTTTGTGTGCCCCAAGGGAAAGTGAGTCACCCAAACATATGCTCCCCGTGTATGGCTCCTGTCACCCCCACTCCCTGGGGTTTGTAAGGCTGTGGAGCAACAGAGGGGAGGAAAGGAGGGAGGGAGAAGGCACTTGGTGATGCTTTATCAGATACTTCTAATGATCATAATTAAGCACTCTGAGCTGAAAGAGAGGCAGAAAGAATTGCTCTATCCAGATGGTACATGAACTGCTTTGCAAACCAATCCGAAAAATGTCATCCCGACCATATTCAGCCCACAGGAGTGCCAATAATGGGAACACCTGAGAAGAAAATTGCAGAAGGATGTGGTCATATTTTAGATTGTGTATTATGCACTGAAGGGGGGAAAAAAGCAACAAGCCTGGGTTAAAAGGACTTTTCATTTGCAGAGTGGAGTGCTCAGATGTTAGGAAATGCCATCATTAAGACTTCCTGGGCCATTTTATTCCAGTCCTCTTGTGCAAACACATTGCGATTGTCTTTAATTACAAGTTCACATGCTATTTTTTCCATTCAGTGCACAGAATGGACTTTGCTCAGCTTACAAGAAGCTACTCAGAAGAATGTTTTTATTTTCTCATTCTTTTGACCAGGTTACCATACTTTATTAACTGTTCAAGGGCTCTCAACCTGCTCTGAAAATGAAATGAACTTGCAAAGCCTTTCCAGGGTATTAAACACTGCAATTGGAGAATGATGAACAAATCTCCATTCATACCACCCTGCATGGCAGGGTAGTAAGGTGCTCCCTAATTTGGACCACAGAAACTATTATGGCCACTGGGTTTTGAGTGCCTGAAGGACAGCAAAGGGTCTAGTTCAGGCAGACAGTGGTCTACAGGAAAAAAACACCCTCTGTGCCCTACAGCACAAAGAGCAACTTGGGAGAATTAATGCTTGGCTTCACTATTAATCTGTAGGTGAAAAGTTATGAGCAACAACAATGGAGTGTGCCTAAAGGGGGGCAATGGAGCTGGGCAAGGGAATGGAGCACAAATCTAATGAAGAGCAACTCAGGGAGCTGGGATGGGGCTCAGCCTGGAGAAAAGGAGGCTCAGGGGGGACCTCGTGGCTCTGCACAACTCCCTGACAAGAGGGGACAGCTGGCAGGGAACAGGATATGCTTCCAGGGAACAAGGGACAGGAGGAGAGGGAATTGCCTCAAGTTCTGCCAGTGGAAGTTTAGATTGCCTGCTAGGGAAAATCTCTTCATCCAAGGAGCTGTCCAGCCCTGGCACTGCAGACCAGGGCAATGCTGGAGTCCCCACTCCTGGAGGGATTTAAAAGCCATGTTGATGACCCATGCCTTGGGAATGGTTGGTCTTCACAGTCTTAGAAAGCTTTTCCAACCTAAATGATCCAATGATTTGCTTATATAGGAGGCTTTCACTCTCTCACAGACCTGTCAGAGATGAGTTTTCCCATTGCACACTCCCCACACCATAACCACTGAGCTGGCTCCTTAGCTTTCACCAATGCCGCAATCCCTGGTGGCATTCCCCAAAACCCACAGCCTTCCCAGGACTTTTTAAACACCTCATTGGGTGCAGCAGTGAAATGGGGATCACTCACCAGTCCGTGCCCTCTGCCAGATACCTGGGCTGGGGGCCCATGGGTTGTGGAGTCTGCAGTTGGTGGCTGAAGTCGAAGCTGGGGTGTAGGCGGTGAGGCTGGACAGACATGCGCTCTTGGGCCCGCCTGCGGGAGGAGAGCAGCAACAGGCAGGGTCAGGCACACCTGGGCACTGCAATTCCTGCCAGGAACACACGGGCAGCCCCCAGAGGCTGGGCTTGTGGACAGGTGTCCAAAGACAAGCACTCCAGGCAGGTGTAAGGGGAAGGGAAACCCAGGGCTGTTGTTCCCTCACGGCCACCATGCAGCAATCCACTCTCAGGCCCTGTGGCACCCAGATAGGCTCAGTTTGCAGGAGATGCTATTTGCTGGCACTGTGCAGAGAAGGAGGGGAAGCCAAAAAACTTCTCAGCAGCTCTGTGCAGTTTGCACTATTTCCTTTTCTGCTGCAGTCAGCCCCATAAACAACACACAAAGTAAAACGTGCCCCTGCTCCAGCTGTGATCCATCATCATAAAGAAGCTGCAGGTTGTCTCGTCTCCTGTGCAGTCCATAAACTCCTGGGGAACCTCATTCATAACCAGATTACTCACGAGTGACTGAAAGCAGAATTTACTCTCACTGGCCTTTGCCAACATTTCTTTGGATGATGGACACGCCAGGCTGGGTTCCAGGTCCTTCTCCCTCTGCTCTGCTGCCATTGCAGGCAGGGAAAAGAAAGTGCTAGAAAATACAGCAAGGTTTTTCTAGGGATTTGAGTCTCATGATTATTGCTTGTTTGAACTACTCAGGGGAAGAGCGTGTGCTGCTGGATCAGTGTCCACATTTGGCAAGAGACAAGGAGGATGCATAAGCAGGATTTGCATTACAGACAGGCTCCTACCCTTTGCTTGCTGACCAGTGGAACCATTACATAGAAAATCTTCAGGAAAAACTAGGGCAAATGGAGAGGGGACTGCCAGGTAAATAACTTTTCATGCAGCCTCAGTTCAGAGCTTCGCTCTCAAAGGCATAACTCATATTCCCATTACTGGGACATCCTGCCCCACGCCTGTAAGGGTTCTGACATCCTGCTCCACTGCAGCTTTCAGACACAAGCACTGGGACTGGGCAAGAGGTTCCTGCCTTCTTCCACACTACAGCCCACTTGCAAACACAACACTGACATCATTTACCAAAGCAGGTTCTGCATGGAATTGTGCTCTGTGCTTTTATTTCAATTCAGCTTATGACTAAGAGATAAACACTTGTATCATCAATTTCTCAGCCTGGAACATACTTGCTACCCAATTATTAGCTAATCATTAAATCCACCTAAAATCCAGTTTATGCATAACAAAACAATGATGAGAAGAACGCACAATTTTCAGACAGAAAGGACATGGAAAGAAAGGGTTTTCTATCCATAGCATTCTTTCCAAATGAAGCATCATTGCAAAGTCTCATCCTCTGATTCTTGATCCATGGGTACAACCCACAAATAGCTTCCATATGTTTCCAAAAAAAATCACTCCTCTCTTGAGAAACACAATCAAGACAAGGCCAGGCATCCATTTCCATCTCTGCTGAGTTACAGCAATTCTCTCTGCGTTTGTCAGCTCAGTGTGGATTTAGGATGCTCTCTGTGACAGAGTGTGCTGCAGAGTGTGTGTCACAGAGACAGAAACCCTGAGCAGCATGACCTCCATGTATATGACCTGATGAGGCAGGTGGGCATGCACGGGTTTGAAACAGCATCTGTGAGGATGCAGCTCATGCACACAGAGACTGGAAAGGCCCCCAGCAACACCACCGTGATTCTCCCAGGAGTGACAATAATGGGATACACCAGATGGGCACAGCGGGATCCCCACAGGAAGGGCGCACCTTCAGGTGCAGCCTGCCCTTCAGGTGGGTTCATTTTCAGCACACACAGGTGAGCTGGAGACGAAAACCCAACCCCACCAGCGTGGCTGTGGCTCCGCAGGCAACGCGCAGCCAGCGTGGCCTCTCCACATCCTTGGGGATGCCCTTACCTGGGATGGGGCATGAGCCGGCGGT